TGTTGTTGTTTTGAAAGCCGACCAATGACAATGCAGCGTGTAATTCGAATTTGAAGGCCATGAATTCATACCGGTGTCACAGGAGATTCGCCCCCCCCCAGGAGATTCGCCCCCCCCCCTCTCAAAAGGGGGGCGCCCCCCTGGGGGGCGAATCTCCTAGGAATATCGCCCCCCTTTAGGAATTTCGCCCCCCCATATAAATTTTGAATTTTTGATCTAAAAACAAAACGATTGCAAGTTGAAAAGATTTATTGTGTGATTTATTTATTTATTACAAGGAGACAAAATTACATACACATTTTAGGCTTCTTAGCAGCTGGTGGTGTGCGCAGTCTGCATAACCACTCATTTGAGGTACTTAGACTAGTGTCATATTCTACACATCTAAAGTGAACCATCACAGAGATCGCATAAAATCATGTTGTCGTATTCTTCTGGCAGTTTACATTCACATAACATATTATAAAAACAATCGCTTGCAAATTTTATCAATACGAGTGTTAACAATAGTCGCCACAGTTGAATCGTCAACTTTCCGTGTCAGTGATGTAATCTTGATTCTTCGCTTCCCTAAGAAAATTGCATTATACAGGGTGGTGTACAGGGTGTATAAAAAAAAACGCAACCTCGGAATTTCCTAAGAAATACTTTGCAATTCTTAAGCATAAAAGATTTTAAGCCCCTGAGAATTGAAATCGAATTGCTAATAGATCATATTACTGTTGTTGTGCATTAAATAAATGCATAAATTTTGCTTTATGCACTCGCGTGTGCAATAATTTTGACAGTTGTGCTATTTTAAATTCCCAGGCGCCTAAAATCTTTTGTCTTTAAAACCATGTCGATTTCTTGGGAAATTCCGAGGTTGCGTTTTTTTTATACATCCTGTATAAAAAAAAAACGCAACCTCGGAATTTCCTAAGAAATCACTTTGCAATTCTTAAGCAGAAAGAGCAGAAGCTAACCAGTGATTCTTACTTTCAGCCAGGACGTGATAAAGGATCACTGCAACCACTGTCATGGAAGCAAACAAGTTCCTTTGAAGACAACGACATTGAAGTGAGCTCAAAGACAAATAATTATGCCGCACAAAAACTGCCACAACAGCGACAAAGTTCTTTGAATTACACTGCTAGCTCAAAAAGAAAGAATTCTGATGGTGAGTCTAAGTCTACACGAGTCTATATGAAAAATGGAAGACCTGTAGAAACGGTTGCTTCCCCGCAGTTCACCTCAACCGACCAATCGTCGGCTGTCAGTATTACAGACACAAAAGATAAAAGTTGTTTGGATGACAATGGGGCTACTTTTCTTTCTCCTGTTGAAGTTGAAATCAATGCAGATATATCCGTGAAAGGTAAAGATGAAAGTGCTACATTTGCCGTTCCTCCATACACAGTCTCTTCAAATGATGTGCAAGATATTAAAAATAATGATTTGGTGGAAAGTCCATCAGACAATGTACCAATAGAAATGCATGAAGAATGGTTTGCACAACATTCAAGTCTCGAAACGTGCCAACAGGGTAGTCGACACGAAATAAATGCAGGAATATCCGAGAGAAACTCTGTTGGGTATAATTCAGTACAGGCAGGCAAATTGGAGAAAGAAGATCAGTTAAAAAGCAATACCGTCTTTGGAGATAATTCTACAGATGTTGTCAATGAGAATATCACTACTCATGATACTTCAGAAATCTCACTGAGTGAAGAAACGGAGAGCGTATTTGATTCAACTTCGGTTTCATCTAAAATGAGCAATACAACAGAGGGCAGCAAACACACCAAATATCCATTTGTAGTAGTTCTTTCCAACCTTCCACCTTCCATGAAGCGCCAAGACATTGTTGCTTTATTTGAAGAAAAAAAATACGCTGGCTTTGTGAAGGTTCCTAGGACTAGACAGAAAGGCAAGGCTATTGTTGTGTTTTCAAATGCAGAACAAGCTTCAAATTGTGCTAAGCAAATGAAAGGCAACTGTATCCTTGGGACAAAAATCCTTGCCCACGCGAAAATATCAGTTAAAGATAATTCAAACCGTGACAAACAATTGCCAAAGAACGAAGAAGTACCTGGTGCTAATGAAAAGGTTAGCGGCTGGCTTGAAAATAAATACGACGAACATTTGGACGGAAAAAGCGAGGAATTTAACGGTGGAGCTATTCAAGGAGGATATGTTGTCGTCGTAAAGAAATTACCAAACTCTGTTTCCAGCGAACAACTTTATGATATCTTTAGTAAGAAGTGCCTGGGGATAAGAGAGACCAGACTCACACAACCAGGCTGTGGTGAGGTTGTGTTTGACAGTAAAGAGAATGTGGAAAATTGCTTAAGAAGAAAGCATACAGTTAATGAAAAGACGCTAACTGTATCTTGTGAGGAAGATATGCCTTCAAATGTCTATTGTCACGAGCAGGAGAGTAAAGAAAAAATGGGAAAGCAGAAGCCGTCAAGGAAAGAAAAACGAAGAAGACGACAAGAGCAACAACAGCAGGAGCAAGAACAACAACAGCGGCAACAACAAGAGCAGCAGCAACAACAACAACAACAACAACAACAACAACAACAACAACAACAACAACAACAACAACAACAACAACAACAACAACAACAACAGCAACAACAACAACAACAACAACAACAACAACAACAACTAAAATCGCCGCACCAGCAACAGCAACAAAAACAAGACCAACTACTGTCGTTACAACAGGAACAAGGGAAAAATGAGAAAAATAGTGAACAGAAACAACAACTTCGACGTTTGGTGCAAAGCCAAATAGAGGTACAAAAAGGCCTACAACAAAAGCAGCAGCAACAACGACAACAACAACGACAACAACAAAAACAACCGCAAAAACAACCGCAACAACAACAGCAACAGCAACAGCAACAGCAACAGCAACAGCAACAGAAGCTAACTAAGACGCCAAACAATCACGTAGTCCAGCTTCGTGGATTCCCCCTGGATGCCGGTGAACAGGAAATTCGAAAGTTCATTAAAGACCAATTGGAGGGTGTGGAAATATTGAATCTTGTTAAAACAGAAGATAAATGCTTCAGTCTAAAGCTAAAATCAGAAGACGATTGCCAAAAAGTATGCGACACTTTGCGAGGATCATCTTTTAATAGTGCAGAAATAACACCAATTTGCAAAGGAAGAAATAAAACCAGCCAGGACAAACCATATGTTGTCGTGGAAAACTTACATCAAAATGTCAGCAAGAAAGACATAAATAGCTATTTCGTGAACTGTCAAGGCATTGTTGATATTAATATAACACAAGAAAGTAAAATAACGTATGCACGCGTGTATTTCGAGTCCGTAGATCCAGCTGGCGAAGCAGTAGTGCGAATGAAGGGATTTCTTGTTGGACGTAAAAAGCTTAAAGTAACAGCAGGTGTTGGAATATCAGAAGAATTAGCATGGATAAAATTAGAACGCCAGCTTCAGGAGTATTTGGAGCTTGTGCAGAAGCAGAAAAAAATTCTTCTCACTAAAAATGACGAAAAACTAAAAGTCCTTGAAAATAGCATCCCTGATTCACGACCGCAGCGAAAACTGATTTCTCTTGAAGAATTTAATCGTCTTCAAGAAACAAGGAAAACATACGAAGGGAAAAAGCAAGAGCTTATTGAGCAACGAAACGAGTTTGAAAAGAAATTCCAACAACTTTTAGAAAGCTTTAATCAGCAAATTGAAGATCACCGAAGTGTTAACAACAAAAAAGGAATCGAAGATATTTTGAAAATTCACAAACATATAACTGACAGGGAATTTAGAAAGTTTAAGGCAAGTTTACCGATTTATGCGAAGCGTACGGAAATCTTGGAAACTGTTGGTGGTAGTCAGATTGTGGTTCTTGTTGGGGAAACGGGTTCTGGGAAAAGTACACAATTGGCGCAATATCTAGCGGAGGAAACGTGGAGTCAAGGTAAAAAGATTGTTGTAACCCAACCTCGAAAGATTGCAGCAATAAGTTTAGCAAAGCGCGTTTCTGAAGAGTATGGATGCAAGGTTGGCCAAGAAGTAGGATATCATGTTGGTTTAGATAAGACGATTAATGGAAAGACAATTATCAAATTTGTTACTGACCGTATTTTATTGAACGAAGTTCTGAAAGGTGGCGAGATGATGCAACAATATTCGTGTATTGTTATCGACGAAGCGCATGAAAGATCTATTCACACAGATTTACTTGTGGCCATGTTGAAGCGACAGCTCACTTCGTTTCCTCATCTTAAGCTCATCGTAACGTCGGCTACGTTGAATACCGAGGTGTTCCGAAGATATTTCGACAATTGTCCCTTGGTGACAGTGCCAGGTAGGACATTTCCCGTAGAGCGTGTTTATGCAAGGGAAAGACCTGAAGATTATGTTGATGGTGTGTATGAGAAGGTGATGGAGGTTTGTGAAAGCGGAGAACAGGGAGATATTCTCGTGTTTTTGACGCAGCAGAATGAAATTGAGAAGACATGTGATAAGTTAGAGAAGAAACTAGGAAAGAGAAGTATCATCCTTCCACTTCATGGAAAATTGCAATCAGATGAGCAACAGAAGGTACTTCAATACTTTTGTATATTATATTAAAAAACTCATTAAAAATTCATGAGGAAAATACAAAAGAAATGAATGTTTAATCAATGTTTGTAAATCGGATAAAGATTTGTCCTGATTTACATAAACTTCAGCTTTGATTTTCTCGGCTTAGACAATGTTTATTTTTAAAATTACTTCGCCAATGAACTCATAAGATGCGTCGTTTTTTAAGCACATTAAAACATTCGCATCCGATCTTTATCTGATACACAAACTTGTCGCCTTCGGCTCGAGTTTGTATATCAGATAAAGATCGGCTGCTCATGTTTGAACTATAATACGTAGAAGGAGAAAGTTTTAGGTTGGATCCTCGTATTTCGCGTGCGAATATAGTTCCCTTTGATGATGATCCCAATTGCAACCTTGACCCTAAATTTTTGGTTTTTTTGCGAAAAACATCCCAAGATTTGGATTTAGTACGACATATATTAATATTACATTGAATAACATGAGATATGATTCAATGTGTCAAAAATATAAAAGTATGATTTGATCATGTATAATGTCACATTGACGCGTGCAAAATTATTATCATCTTTCGGTCGGTTGTCCACAGGCTGAGTAGGACCTGGGCTACTACCGAACTTTACAACAACTTATCTCAGCTCGTCTGAAACTTTTTGGAATTATTGAACGTTTTGGGGGAAGCCGCGGGTAGCAGATGTGGAAACTCTGGTGTTAGACCGAGTTGAATATACACAAAACGGTCTGTGCTAGCTTTAGTCTCCTACGCAGCTTGTTCACGGGTCTGAAGTTTTCTCCCCACTAACAGGCTGCTTACTGCAGCAACACATTCCATTCCGATTGTTTCAACTTGACCAATCAGGAAACGGCATGACGTATGCTTCCCGCCAAATTCAGTAGTGACTAATTAATTGTTCAGTGCTAAATATATCTCAGTGTTTACTGCTGTTAAAATATATTACACGCCTTTTTGAAATAATCAACTTGTTTATATTCTGCATGACGGGAGAAGTGCCCTTGGTATAGCTGATCTGATCAAGGTATCAGTATAAAATGTTGATGTGAACAATATTCTGACAGTAACGATTTTATTTATTTGCAAAAACGTCTGTTATGAAACGGCTGTTGTCTAGTTGAGGCTGAAAGTTACACTATTATTATTAAAGACACAATCCATGGACCCAGCTTTTATCGTCCCATATTTCGTTCCTACTCCTTGGAACTGTGAGTAAAACTGTATGTGATACCTACAATACATTGGGGAAAGCGTTACTGTATGGACCTCTATATACGGCAGCCGGGCAGTAATATGAAATGCAACCCGTCCGCAAGGTGGTTACACAGAAAGTGCTTGACATCGTTTCCCAGGAAGTTAGCGATTTGTGTTTTAGAAAGAAACTCTCGACTGTGTTAAAAAAACTGGGGAGGATGATCTAAAGAAATTCAGTCTTGAGCAGCTATGTGGCTCTGTGCTGCTCAAGCAAAGAAATGATAAAATGAGCGCGACTGCCTTGGCTATTGTGTTGGGTTAGAGGTGTTGGGTATCTTTCTCAAATAATCCCGCTCGACTGAGGTTATATAACGGAGGCTATTTAGGGTTGTACAAAAAATATGCTGTACGCGAGCACTCGCGGGTATTACGAGTTCTCAGACTTTTATGGTTTCAAAAGTGTTCGGATTTTATGCGCTCAAATAAAACCCGACTCCCGAGCACTTTTGCTTAATAATAGAAGTCAAACCCGCGAGCACTTTTGCTTTACAGCATATTTTTTGTACAAGCCTAAATTAAAACTAAAACTATATATGAGTAGCATTTAAGTGTATCATTAAGTACATTGCTATAGAGTATAGTTTTAACTAGCAAATGTATATAAATATTTTTATATTTGATTTCTTGTTAATTTGAATACATGCAGTATTTCGAAATTGACAACTTGTCGTTCAAAATAGTTGTTTACAAATTTATATGGTCTTATATATATTATATATTTTTATTTAATTTTCCCCATATATAAAAAAGCTACTTAAAATTTATCTTTAAACGATTTTGGGCTAGATATCTACTATAGATATCTTTGTAGACTTTCTATTTAGATTTTAGGCTTCTAGTTTTATAAAGAGGATCCTGAAGGGGGGGTCCCAATCCCATTTCCCACCTGAAATTTTGGCAAAATCCCAGTCCCAGTTGGATTTTTAGTAGAAATCCCAGTCCGAGTTATTGAAATCCCAGTCAATAAAACCCCTTTATTTATCGGTACAATAAACAGTTTTAAGACTTTTAAGCCACCGTGTACGCAGTGCTGTGAATAATATAGTTAACAACAAAAATCATGACCAAAGACACCAAAAACGGATCAAGATTGTATTTTAAAATGCTTAAAACGTAGAAAAATTGGGAATCGACTCGCATTACCTCAATCCCATTCCCATTTTTGAGGATTTCATTTCCCATTCCCAATGGCCAAATCCCAGTCCCAGCAACCCAAATCCCATTTTCAATCCCAGTTCCCATTTTACCCCTTCAGGACCCTCTATAAATACTGTTCATTTGTAATAATTATTAAATCACATAGACATAGTGTCATACATGCAATATGTAAAATGAGACGTTTTGAAGAATATGTACGTCTGTATTTACAACAGAGAAAAAGAAGTTACTGTAAGGGCAATGTTCGTATCAGTATATATTAAAAATTAATACTAAAGTTGGCGATGCATTTAAATTTTTACAATGACTTGGTATTACATATATATTTTTTTAATAGTCTTACAGAAGTATGTTTTATCGCATGTCTTATAGTTATGCCTTATGGACTTATGGTATAAATTGTCAATTGTGTATAGCAAAGTGTTGTTTAATTTGCTTTTGGAGATATGTTATAGGAGTTTATTTCATTAAATTTTGTTTCTAACGAGTTCCATATATCATCTCCTTTATACGAGAGAATGTGTTTCACATAATTAAAATAGTTTGTCCTTTCATTACATTCGTGAAGTTTTGAAGCATTTTCTTAGTGTTATGACTTATGTTCATGAATTTTGTTGTTTGTCACGAAATAATTTTTAAAGAAATCTGATAAATTATTAAAATGGTGGTACCGAAACATAAATAAGGCAGTTAAATAGTCAATGATTTATAAAAAGCAATGCCTCTGCATGATTTCCATAAACTACCGCTCTGGCATTCGTGGAACAGGCGATCACATCACATGAGAGGCAAATCGATTAATCGAAGCCTGTAGACTGTAGTAGGCGTGTTGACAAACGCATCTCATTTTTCTTTAATTATTGTTCGAATCGCATTCCCCTAGTGATGATCGTTGAAAGTAGAAATACGAAATAATGATCAGGGGCGGATCTAGGATTTGTCGTACGTTAGTCAAAAATTTCGTTGCTGAACATTGGGGGAGGGGGGTACTTTTGAGTGGGGGAGGTACTTTTGGCGGCGGGGGGGGGGGGTGCGGGGGGGTTGCCAAGCAAATTAATATTTTTTATATGTGTTCTGTTTACGAAAAAATGTAACTTAAAAAATTGCTTTTTCGCCCAATGTCAAACAGATATCCAATTCTCATCGAGAAATAGATTGACAAGGATGACTTGACGTTTTAAAAATTGTTATTTAATCGCATATTATTTGCTTTGACATGGATGGTCAAAACATTTTGCAATATAGTGATGCAATATAGGAAGAGAATTTCCACGTTTAATTCACTGCTCCTCGAGTTTCATTCGTAGCAGGAACATACGCCATGAATAAGTATTCACAAAGGCAACATGATCCATTTTACTTGTTGTGTACATGATGTAGAGATCGTATTACACAAGGCCATGCTACATTGTCGTGTTCTTGTAGTTTAAAATGACTAAAATAGGCTAGGTATAAATAACACAGTGTTATTAAGTAGCTATCTGATTAATATATAAAGTCCACATGTCACAAGAAGCATAAACAAAGTATAAACACACTGAAACTGCCTGTATTAAGCCGCAGTACTATTTAGGTAAATTGACGGAAATATTATGTATTATTATACGTCTTATAACGCGTACCCGCCGATATTATAGCATGTGCGTACAGACGCACAATCCACCACAGTATACAACAGTTATAATGCTATATCTAGTTAAAATGAATATATATCTTAAGGCCGTACAAAAGATTTTTGTCTTCTCCCGAACGTACTTCAGGATGTAAGATTCCGCACCAAAATTTCGTGCGAGGAAGGCTGCTTAATATGTCGAGGCTTATGTTATTCACAACGCTCACTAAATCTTTAATAGAAAGCTTCGGTACACTGTTACTCGCTTGTTTAAATCAGCTTCAATATCTTTGACATTTTGTCGATCGTCCTTCTCTAAAGCAGCCTTTACGGTTTCGTAAATACTAACAGATATGGCTAGTATTAGTTCAGAATTTCTGATAGTAAATCTTCCCATTGAACTTTAATAATTTGCGGTCAAGCACAAAGTAGCGATCAGAAAGGGCCAGAAACGTCATAGACCTTTCCGTGCACTAATAAAGCCTGAACGGTATGATCGATCAAAAAAATCTAGCCAATGGGAATTCAGGATTGTTTTGAATTAGCCAATCGGATAGCCTGTATTCGAGCCCCTGATCGCTTTAGCGATCAGAACTCCCCACAGATCGCGCAAAAATCGAGATAGCCAATCAGATGACTGGAATCTGACTCAAAGCGTGCAAAACTCATGCGTAAGACCGCTTTTCTGCGCGTTCATGTTCGAAGGCCTTGCTACTGAATGATATTTCAAAACTGGACTGTTAAACTTTCAACACATTACACTGCGCGAAGTTTGATAACTGGACTGCTATTTTAATTTAACAATTTTCTATTTTTCTGGCCAATTTTTACCTTAGTCGCGTGATCGCTCTGATCACCCCTAGATCCGCCCCTGAAATAATGGGCGACTTCATACAATGCTTGATCATACGACGCCATCTTTGTTTCGGAATATTAAATTTAAGCGCGAACGAGTTCCTGATTTTGGTACTCGGGCTGTGATTGGCT